TCCTTCTTCTTCTTCTTCTCCCATACAATGCGACTGAATTACCAACACCTTGGGGACATCTGGGATTAGCCGCCGCAAGTCTTGGCCGGGATGCAACCCAGCCAACATTGGTCTCGAAACAATGAGGACCGATTGTGCCGACCCTGCGATAGAAATTTTGCATTGGCTTGCGACGTCAATTCATATTGCCACCTCTCCCTCTCTCTTTTTTTTCTTCCCTCTCTTGAGTACCTCTGCTGTGCTTGTGTGATGCTTACGCGAGCGCTTCTGATGTGGCGTTTTTTCAGACATGCGTGGATATCTTGTCCCTGGCGCGCACCTTCTCAGGCGACAGAGGCGCCTTTCCCATGACTTCTGCGGTTTGGGAGTAAAAGTCATGGCACCAGTGCCTTCCAAAGCCACCACAGGCAGGCCCCGATCAAGACAAGGTGCCCTCCATTACGAAGCTGCCTCTCTCCCCCTCTCTCGCTCTCTCTTTCGTTTGTGTGTGTTCCTTTCCGTCGTCTCCAAGTCTTCTCTCGGTCCTTCACCACAACCTGCTCCGTCTTCACCGTCTACTCAATGTCTCCATCTCCTCCTCGGTTGTCTCACTCGCGTGCCGTCACTTTTTTTTTTCTGTCTCTACGCTCTCTCTCCATGCCCTCGAACGCTCTTGATCCGGTTCTTACCCTCTCGACGCGACCCTCTCGACTGCCTCCCAATTCATCTCTCTCCTCTTTTCCCGACGCTCACCCCTCTCCTCTCTCTCCTCTCTCTTCGCTGCTCTCCCGCTCTCTTTCTGTCTCTATGCTACTCTCTACTCTCTACTCTCTACTCCCTACTCTCTACTCTCTGATCGCTGATCTCTTCTCTCTACTCTCTACTCCCTACTCCCTACTCTCACCTCTCCCTCCTCTACTCCCTACTCTCTACTCTCTGATCTCTGATCTCTACTCTCTACTCTCTACTCTCTGGTCTCTGATCTCTACTCCCTACTCTCTACTCTCTACTCTCTACTCTCTACTCTCTACTCTCTACTCTCTACTCTCTACTCTCTACTCTCTACTCTCTACTCTCTACTCTCTACTCTCTACTCTCTACTCTCTACTCTCTACTCTCTACTCTCTACTCTCTACTCTCTACTCTCTACTCTCTACTCTCTACTCTCTACTCTCTACTCTCTACTCTCTACTCTCTACTCTCCCTACTCTACTCTCCCTACTCTACTCTCTACTCTCCCTACTCTACTCTCTACTCTCCTCTCCCCCCTCTCCCCTCTCTCCTCTCTCCTCTCTACTCTCTACTCTCTACTCTCTACTCTCTACTCTCCCTACTCTACTCTCCCTACTCTACTCTCTACTCTCCCTACTCTACTCTCTACTCTCCTCTCCCCCCTCTCCCCTCTCTCCTCTCTCCTCTCTCCTCTCTCCTCTCTATATGCACTCTCTCCTCTGTACTCTCTTCTCTCCTCTCTCCTCTCTACTATCCCCACTCTCTCGACCAATTCATTCTCACCTCCCCCTTCAGTTCTCTCTTTTCCTCTCTCTCTCTTTTCTTTTCCTCCCTCTCTTTTTTTCTGACAATTCGAAGCACGTTTTTTTTTTTTTTTTTTTTTTTTTGAACTTTTGCGTTGCAGCGCATTTTGTGGATCCGATTTCATTTTTCCCGAGGCCCCCTCAAGGCACCCTCAGGTACCCCGATGCCAAGACGCCGAGACGCCGGGACGCCCCGATACCGAGACGCTGAGACGCTGAAACATCGAGACACCGAAACACCTCGAGACCTCGATACCTCGATACCGAGACACCGCGAGACCTCAATACCTCGACACCCTGACAGCGGTGGCGGTGGATGGGGAGGAGGAGGAGGAGGAGGATAGCAGTGGTGGTGGAGAAGGTGATATTGGGGGCTGTTTCTCCATGATGGCGACGGGACGGGGTTTGGATGGTGGGATGGCAGATCGGAAAGAGCGAAAGGTGATGAAGCGGCCAGCTCGGCGGTCGACGCGGCTGCGTGGCGAGATGAGAGCGGCGACAGCGGCGACGGCGGTTCAGGGGCCGGACGCAGCTGCAGCGTTGGCTCACCCAGCCAAACGACCGAAGCGACGAGCGATGCCAGCGATCAAGGCTAGCGACC